ATGGATGACGATAAAGTTTAGAATTTAGTAGAATTACCTTAAGGGTCTAAAAGAGTGTGTGTAAATGGGTTTTTCGAAACCAAACATGACTCTAAAGGTAATATCGAAAGGTATAAATCTAGACTTGAATGTTACATCCAAAAGGAAGGCATTGACTACAAGGAAACATTCTCTCTCGTTTTTAAGAATGATTCCTTGAGAATTGTAATGGTGATAGTGGCTCTGTATGATGTTGAGCTTTATCAAATGGACATAAAGATCACTTTCTAAATGATAAACTTAAAAGGAGATCTACATGAACTAATTAAAAGTTTTTGAGATCACAAGAATGAAATGTTAGTGTGTAAGTTGAATAGATCGATATATTGACTAAAACAAGTCTCTCGTCAATGGTATCTTAAGTTTAATGATATCATCACTGCTTATGGTTTTGTAGAGAATACCGTAGACCGGTATATCTATATTAAGGTTAGTGGGAGTAGATTTGTTATTTTAGTTCCGTATGTCGATAACATATTTATAGTTGCTAATAATGTGAACATGTTACATGAATTAAAGTATTATCTCTCTGAAAATTATGAAATAAAGAATGTGGATGAAACGTGCTTGGTAATTGGAATAGAAATATTCTGGAATATATCACTAGGACTAAAAGTATCCCATTAAAGTTTTATTTGAGAGGTAATGGATGGTTGTTCCGTATAATTCCAATTCATAAAAGGGACATATTTAGTTTAAATAAATGTCCGAAGGCGAAATGGAATGGAAAGTGATGGAGAAAATTCCTTAGATATAAATGATTAGGAGTCTTAAGCGATACGGACCTGTATTTGGTTTGATAACATATTTGTTGTTGGTATACATTAAACAAATATAATTGTAATCCCTAAATGATTATTTAAATGCTGCAAAGAATTTCTAAAGTATGTACAAGGCATTAAAGAACACATGCTAACTTAAAGAAGATCCAAATTATTTTTATAATTGGATACTCGGATTCAGATTTTTGCTCATAATGTCTAAAGGAGTAAAATTATGGAAAAGTGGAATGAAGTCCATCATCGTGACTTCCACTTAAGTTTGAGTTTGTGGTATGCTTTGAGGCCACAAGTCAAAATTAGGGCTACGATGCTTTATCTTAGGACTTGGAAATGTCGACATCTTGTCCAAGCCGCTAAGAATTAACATAGTTTTGTAGCAATAATATTTCAAGGAAATGACAAGTATTCAAAGAGTGTGAATCACATAAAATTTAAATACTTGGTCGTAAAAGTAGAAGTGAAGAAACAAAGTGTCATTTGAGTATTTTAGTACTAATTGCATGAAAGTGGATCCATTAAAGGGTTATTCCCTATAGCCGTTGCAAGGCATATAAAGAAAATTGGGAATAACGAATGGGGCCTTGTTGGACTGACCGATACTGAATGAAATTGCTCAATTATTGATTTGATACTTATTGAATTCAATAAAAGATGTTTGATTCTTCACATATAATACCATCATTATGGATATTCGATTTTAGAGTATATACATAAAAGTTGGATGGCTTATGGTTATGGTACGAATGGTTTGTTCCATATTAAGGTAATGTTGAATTAGAAATGATTTGTGGTACATGGAAGGGACCATGTCGCTCGAAGACTTGTGACCGCCATGACTCAGTTAATTTCTATTTTAATTTTAAACTTATAGATATATGTATTCAATTATAAGTTTGATGAAAGGTGCGCGCTTAAAGTAGTTCTTTGAGTTTCGACACTTATATGGTCCAAGTGGGAGAATGTATTAATATTTTATATATTATTCTATTATTGTGGACCATATAATTAGTTGGACCTAATTGAATTAATAGTCAAACTTTATTAAAGATGAATATGTATTTAATAGATTATTTAATGTTCTAATATTAAAGAGTCCAATGTGTGATGTTTGACTTGGACAGTAAGTTAGGTTAGAACATGATAATGGTAGTATGATTAGGATTCTAAGTTTCCTCCTCCTATATATACTACATACCCCTCTCTCTCATCTCATACGAAATAAAGTTCTCAACATCAAGGGCTTTATGGAAAGACGAGAGACGAGGGAAAGAGAAACAATTAATTCATAGGCAAAGACGAATCTATTGTTGGAGATT